ACTCACGAAAGCTTATGCCGAAATAAATCTGTTAGTCTTTAAGGTGCCACCAGACTCCTTGTTGTTTTTGACCACATAAAGATTTCCATCCATGCACTCAGGCTGAGATGTTCACTGCCACTGAGTGATTATCAGTGGTTCACAGTCATGCTGGAAGGGCATAACGAGTGGGGTCCCACGGGGATCATTTCTGTGTCCGATTCTGTTCAATATCTTCATCATTGATTTAGATAATGGCATAGAGAGTACATTTATACACTTTGCAGACAATACCAAATGGGGAGGGGTTGCAAGTGCTTTGAAGGATAGGATTATAATTCAAAATGATCTGGACAAACTGGAGAAATGGTCTGAAGTAAATAGTATAAAATTCAATAAGGACAAATGCAAAGTACTCCATGTAGGAAGGAACAATCAGCTGCACATATACAAAATGGGAAAGGACTGCCTAGGAAGGAGTACTGAGCAAAGGGATCTGGGGGTCCTAGTGGATCACAAGCTAAATATGAGTCAACAGAGTAACGCTGTTTCAAAAAAAGCAAACATAAATCTGGCATGTATTAGCAGGAGTGTAGTAAGCAAGACACGAGAAGTAATTCTTCCACTCTACTGCGCATTGATTATGCCTCAACTGGAGTACCGTGTCCATTTCTGGGTGCCACATTTCAGGAAAGATGTGGACAAATTGGAGAAAGTCCAAAGAAGAGCAACAAAAATGATGAAAGGTCTAGAAAACATGACCTATGAGGGAAGATTGAAAAAAAATTGATTTGTTTAGTCTGGAGAAGAAAGACTGAGAGGGGACATGACAACAGTTTTCAAGTACATAAAAGGTTGTTACAAGGAGGAGGGAGAAGAATTGTTTTTCTTAACCTCTGATGATAGGACAAGAAGCAATGGGCTTAAATTGCTGCAAGGGCAGTTTTCTTTGGACTTTAGGAAAAACTTCCTAACAGTCAGCATGGTTAAGCACTGGAATAAATTATCTAGGGAAGTTGTGGAATCTTCATCATTGGAGACTTTTAAGAGCAGGTTATACAAACACCTGTCAGGGATATTCTAGATAACACTTAGACCTGCCATGAGTGCAGGGGACTGGACTAAATGACCTCTTGAGGTCCCTTCCAGTCCTATGATTCTATGATGGGTGCCCAATTCTCATTACAGTTTTTTTAAAAAATCTCTTTTTTTCCCACTGTAATATTTTAGAAGAAATATTTGATCATTTGTCTTTGAATTTTTCACAGTTAAATTTATAAAGCCAAGAAAAAAATCAATTTTCATCTCCTTCCTATTCAAGCTACATTTTTAGTTTGAGTCCATTTGTATTGAAATTTTAGGTTTGATTCAGTTTTTGAAAGAAGAAATAATTTTGGTTTTCAATTTTGTTTTTTTTTTGTGTGTGTTTTCAGTTTCGCCTTTTCCCATTGACTGTCCCATTTTTAATTTATCTTTTGGGAAAAGAGGGGTGGAGATGGAAAAGTTTTTGAAACTTGGAAAAATCACTTTCCCTCCTGAAAAAAAATAAGATTGACATTTCTGAGTCAAAATTAAAGGAAAAAATATTTTGTTTGAAATTTTGTGATGAAAACATGAAAAAAAAGTTAAAAACCCCACATCAAAAACAAACACAGATTTCCCATCCTCAATTTGTCGACATTTATTGCAATGGAACATCAACCAGCTCTAAAACTCTCAGCCATAAAGGACAGCGAGGTGCTGTTGTGAGCAATGGGGGAAAATGGTTTTGTGGGTAAGTCACTGATCGTGATTCTGGGGAGCTAGGCTCCATGCTTACCCTGCCATAGACAACCTTTGTGCCCACAGATAACTTGCATCTCCTCCATGTTGAAGATTTTCCAGGGAGAATAAGGGAGGTGGGGCCTGACGCCCTGGATGAAAATCACAGCCTCTGTGCCTCAGTTTCCCTTTCTGAAATGGGGATAATGCTGCATTTCCCCTACTTCACAGGAGGGCTGTAAGGTTAAATCCTGGGGGGGGAGGGACTTCCTGTACTCCTGAGACACTCCTTCGCTGCGCTTCAGAGCCCGAACTGGAACATCTACACTGAAATTTTTAGCCCTGTGGCATGAGCTTGATTCAGTTGATCCAGGCTCTGAGACTTGTTGCTGCAGGGTTGGGTTTTTTTTCAGTGTAGACATACCCACAGAGCCCCTGACATAGAAAAAAACCAGTCTGAGACAGCTAGGCACAGAAATGCCACCGATAACCATGGCAGCAAAGCATCTGTGGTCCATTCTCCCTCCTACCTTACTTAAATCCTCTGCAAACCCCAGGTAATATCTGTAAAGCCCTTTAGAGAAGAATGCACTCAGTAAGTACAAAATGTTATCTCCCCAACCAGATCTCTCTGTCTCTATCAGTGGGGGCTCTGAGAACCTAAAATACCTATCCTTAGTATCACATTGCACAATGTATGAGTCAAGAGTCAATACCTCACACGACCTGT